GGGGGGGGGGGGGAAGAAATCTTACTGTAGATGCTGTTATATCTGCAAACAAGTTTTCTGGCGGGCAGTTTCCCCATAGGGGAGCAATCCTGGCAGAAGAACTGTTGCTGCTAGAAGCTAGGCTCCACTAGGGAGATCTGGTACAGCTCTGCTGGGATATCCTTCTAAGTGTAGGTGGGTGTTGAGTCTGTGATCTGATCTTCAAACTGTGTGATGCAGTGACTAACTGCACCACTGAGTCCTTGGGCTACTGACATTTTAGTGGAAAGACTAGACTTATTCCACATTTCTAGGTAGGGTGGGGTTAAGGCCACACACGCATACATGCTTCAGTGCCAGAGGCCACTCCCTATGTTACCTTGAGGTTTTTAGAGGGCTGTGCCGCCAGTTATGATCTTTTGCTTGATAATAAGTACAATACACCAGCCCAACACAAACCTTGCTTTAGTACAGTCAAAGCTTACAAAGAGCAGGAATAAGAAAAAGAATAGTTGGTTACATACGTTGCAAGTTAATGCAAGTGCAAAGGATGCTCTTTGTACAGTGCTGCTGTCTTATCGTGGAGCCTGAGGCTGCTGAGTACACTGCCTTCGCTATAGGAGCTCTCTGTGTGTAAACATTGAGGTTTTATGAACAGGCTGTTCATTTTGGATGGCTAACCATGAAAAGCCTCCTCAATTCTGCAGTTAGATATGGCACAGCAGCCTTTGAGAAGACCTCTGCTTTCCCATGGTAAGAATTTTCAAGCTCTTTGCTAAAATGTAGCTGTCATCTGATTCTGTGAAGCCTATGCCTCATCCCTGAAGTCATGATAAAAGAAACAGACAACTAAAGAACCTGCTGCTGAGGACAAAAGTACTGTTAGCAAGGTGGCAGTCTTACCAACTTGATTATGATGGGAGGGAACATTATTTCATTGACTGTCCTTTTCATATTTGTGCATCATGCTGTGTTTGAAGATTCAGTGAAGCACAATACAGGAATTCACTTTAAAAGGACATCCTGTTGTGGTTAGGTTAAGGTAAAGACAGTCTTTAGTAGTGGGAAACAGCAAGTGTAGGGGGGGGAAAAAAGCCAGAAGCAAACATACATAATTCAAAAGGTAAAAGCATGAGTCAAAACACATAGGTAAAACTTTAGAGGAAGGCAAAGATCTCCCAGAGGAAAGAATGTGAGGTTAACCACAAGCAGCTCTGCTTTGAAGGCATCCTCAGCCACTCACTGAGAGCTTGCAACCTGAAGGGATGTGCCAGTTCTTTGCCCAAATTGTACTGTTTAATTCTGTATGACAAAGAAGGGTAGAAAGCAAGACCTACAATTTTGGCACATTCTGCTAGATCGCTACCTAGACAATGGCATTCATTGCGCCTGATCTTTTAGTGCAACTACAGGAAGCATCACCCAAGGGTTTGCCAACAGCTGTCACACTAACAGTGGATGTGTGCCATTTCTCACTCCTGCCTTTCATTAGGCACTAGATGGTTACTATGTGGCATCTGCCGAGTACATGTAGCCTTTTAAGGGGTGGTTGCAGCATTATGGACTTTGGAGTACAAGAGAAGACCCTAGACGAGCAGCTCTTAGACAAACTTTTCTTATCAAGTTAGTTCAATAACTTCCAGATATCTGTTGCAGACAGCAGCTAATGTCTTCTGCCAGAGCTTTCTAATGTTCTACTTGATTTGTTATTGCTTTTCCCTCTCTCATTAACGGTATTTCAGTGAAAAAAAACCAGGCACTTAAAAAGAAAAAAGTCACGTGCTCTTACAGATTGATATAGACTCTACTATAACTGGGATCTCCAAGAGTTATAATGGAAGGTAATAATCAACTGGAAATAAAGTAGGAACAGATGAACTTACATTGTCATGAGGCAGCGTTGCAGGTGGAAACTGCCTCACAGGGGGAAAAAACCCAACAATGATACAAAACACAACAGGTCCTGGGGAGGCCGATACCTCCTTGCTAGGAGAGCATGATGGATTGCTTTGTGGCTAAGGCTCTGGACTGGGACTCAGGAGACTTAAGTTCAGCTACTGGCTGTCAAAGACTCAGTGCTTGACCCAAGGCAAATATTTGCTCTCTGTATGCTTTGGCATCCGTCCGTATTGTGAGGCTGATGCTGACCTACCTCTGAGGATTTCCCTAGCTGACTTCCTGCCCTTGGGGCAGGGGGCTGGACTCCATCTCCCAAGGTCCCTTCCAGCCCCAATATCTATGAAGTTACAAGATTCAGCCTAATGAAAATATCTGCTCTAGTAGCAGACAGGCCTGGTAGAACATGCCACCGCTAGTAGTGCAGTCTGATGTCTCTCAAGGAAATTCAGCCCTGGGGTTGGAGCACGTCCCAGGTGGGATCCTAGCAGTGAATCCCTTGCTGACAAAGTTGGGCCTCCCAGGTGGTCACCTCCACCCTGAATCGGAGAGCCCTGCAGTGACCTTGTAAGTGCGCAGTGTACATCAGATACTGACATAAGAAATACTCCCAGTGGAGTTACTGCTGCCTTAGGGTGGGTGTTGTTTACTTAACTGGTGCATTTACTGTACCATATTGGACATTTAGCTGACCTTGTCCCCCTGTATCTTTCCTATGGTGAGGTCAAATACTTCAAACAATGCTAAAAACCTGAGGATGTACCAGGCCTATTGTATAACACTGTACAATAGTCTTGTTGTCTTTCTAGTGTAGGAGCAACAAGCAAAAGCATGAGGCTTGGAGGACAGTAATGCATGCTGGGACATTCTAGCCATGTGGGCATCTATTGTACAGCAATGTCTAGTGGTAACGGGCACAATTCTGTGACCATCTTCTGAAGCAACGCTAGTATTCAGCTCCCTGCTGTAGTAGCGGATAGCACAAGATGAATGCTGGCCGAGTGTAGCAACACACATCTCTGTTTTTCATGTGCTGTCCTGTCAACATCTATTATTAGAAGGCAGTTTTTAAAGTCTGGCCAGTTTTCACTAGGTTCACTCTCTCACATGAAACTCTAAATCCTGTTTTATAGTGTTCAATAATGTCACCCAATAAAACCATGTCCCCCCACCCCATGTTCATTGCCCTTTTGATCTGAGCATCTGTCACCTGCACAAAGGCAAACAAACAGTCACAACCACACATACACACACCAGTCTGAGGTCACACAAGTGCTTGAGTAATGCAGGCTGGTTGCTTTCATCATTCTGAACATGGACAAAAACATGCTGAAGGGCACCTGATGATTATTTTTATTATCATAAAGAGCAGGAAAGGGATTTCATGCCTGCTTGTGTGTGGGGACTCAATAAGCTCTAGTTCATTTATTGGTCCCCCACAAAATTCATGCAGTAAAACAGGTGAAAGCAAGAACTAAA